CGGCTGGAGCTGCCGCCGCCGCCGCGCCAGCAGGTCCTAATGCCTGTCACTTCCCAGGACGTTGGCAGCGGCAGCCCGGAGCCCCTGAGCCCTCGGCAGGTCTGCCTGTCCTTCCCCGCTATCTGATTGGATAAAGTGGGGGCTCGACGGTGGCCGACGTGGGACAGTCTGGCTGTGGCAGGGGTCTCGGAAACCATGGGTTATTGCAGTGGCAGGTGCACGCTTATCTTTATCTGTGGCATGCAACTGGTAAGTGACACTTGGGTTCTCTTATTCTGTAATGTGCCTTTGAGAGAGTGGGCAGGGGAGCGTAATAAGGGGGTATGCCGTAGATCAGGATGGAAGAAAAAAGAAAAGAGAAAAGGTGACAATGTAGTACCTGTATTTAAAAGGATTCTAGGAGGGAGCACTGTGGGGTGCAAGAGAAGTGAGCCTTTCTGCCCTCACCTATTTCTGTCCCTCTAAAGACAGTTTGGTAGGTGCAGGTTAAACTTGTTATCTTCAATTTCTTTAAGCAGAGCGAGATGTAGCTCTTCTGCTATGCTTGGCATTCCTGTTAATGTAACAAGGTGATTGTCAAATATGTTTTACTGTACAGGTGTTAAACAGAAATACAGAATTTAAGACTTTTCTTCTCCATACTTATTTCGCAGTGTATTTAGTCACTATTACTTGATATTCTAGGAATATATTGTCTTATATATCTTTATAACCACTGTTTAGGACAGATGGTAATCTTTCAGCATTCTAGTCTTGAAACCACATTGAGTTTTAAAAGTATGTAGATTGAAGAGAAATACTCAGATGAACTCAACAACACCCTCACCAGACTGAGCCAGTAACCTCTAAATCACAATTGTGACAAACAATCCCAAGAAAAAAAGATCCTGTCTTCCATTATGCATGGTATTGCTCCCGAAATAGATACATGCTATTGTCTGATCCCACCGGATGGAGAATTATATGTACTTTCTGAGGAATGTCGTACAGTTGCAAAAAGGCAAGAAGCTAATAATGGAAAACGTCATGTAGCTGTATTTCAGTTCCCTGAGGGCAATGGAAGGAGTGGCTAAGAAGGGAGTGTAGAGGTAAAAAAAAATTTTACCACTGTTAAATGGTTAATTTGAGTAGGAGGTACTTGCTCACTCCTCATCAAGTAGCTTTTCTTAGAAAGTATAAATTAATCTAAATACCCTAGTTCTGAACAATTGTTTCATAAAGGCTGAAAGGATTAAAGGATGCAAGGAGATTATTGAAAGCCCAGTCATTAAGAAGTGCTTAAAAACAAGAATTTGCTATTGAAACTGACAGAATTCCTTAAGTTTACTTCACTGTTTGTCAGTTGGGAAGTCCATGAGTGTTTGTTTTGTCTTTGATATTGAGCTGAAGAAATGTTTTTGAGGTATATTTTCTTGGGATGTTTTTCTTCCTCTCAGGAAAGTTATTTGATGATGTGTTGACCTTTGAATTATGTAGTATGGTTGTAAAAAATGAAGGAGATGGAAATATAAACATAATTTCAAGGATATTGTATTTTTTAAGTGAAAACCTGCTTCTACTTCTCTACCATAGATTCATTCACTGCTGCCTTTAATGAGAAAGCTACCTAGAAGTTTATTGTGTTAAACTACCTATAGAGTCCAAATAGTCCAAGTTGTATAAAAATTTCAAAAACATTCTTTTTGTGTGTGTCTCAAAACAGATTGCGTTTGCTGATTCACAGTGTAAAAGCATAAAACTGAGAAGAAATGGGTGGGTAGAACATTGTTGTGCCCTTTTCAGCTTTAAAAACATGATTTAACTTAATCATTTAATATAATAGGGCTTTTTTAAGGGTTTCTTAATGTAGCAGGGTGGTGTATGTATTAAAACAAATGACATGTTGTGTGATGAATATAAATTCTTCAGTAACTTAAAAAAATTTAATATATAAATGCCCCAGTGGGGAAGCTAAGTATATAAGTATGATACAGTTATAATCTTCTTTGTGTTTGTGTGTGTGCATATGCGTGTGCATACACATCCAAACAGTGGAGTGTGGAATCATCATGTTTGGATAAGAAATCTGAGTAGTGGCTGAGTTCTCTAACCAACAAGAGCTAGCTGTGACAGGAACACTCAACCTAAGCAAGTGCACATTTGAATCCTGAAGAGTATTTTATACTTTATATGAATCATATGATTTTCTTCTCATTCACACTTCTGGTGTCACCAGGCTAATATAATTAGCAGCCATGTTCATGCAGATGTCGAACGAAAAACAAAGGACAAAGAAATTCTGTTGTATTGATAGGGTGAAATAATAGTACCTTCTGGACTTCAGAGATTCTTGCTAATTGTGTCTTAGTGATGTTTACATAACTTTAAATGTCTTTACAAATAGTTGCAGAGCATATGGAGGTGAAAGTAAAGGTTTTCCTTCTGTGTTTATAGATTTAAAATTTTTGTGTATCTTTGAGCTATTTGGAGGAAAAAAATGTTATTTTACATGTCAACCAGATTTCCAGAGTAAGTTTCAACTTGTGTGCTGACAAAAAAGTTCATTCAGTTTTATAGACTTCTGAAGTGTTCAGTTGGTGTTAGGACAGTTGGACACCATTTGCTTTTGTAAATGCATAGAAAATCCTTAGATTTGTTAAAACTACTGGGTGCTAAAGATACTGTTAAGATAAAACTTTCTTTTGTTTTTTAAATTAACATTAAGTTTCTACAGACATTGATTTCTAATCTTATAGTCACTATTGCATTTTTATTAAAATCAATATTTACATCTATTTGCAGCTTATGTTAGAAAAAGATGTCCTGTAGCTTTAAGTACCATTGACACGGAGCACTCACTCATCAGGTTATTTCAAAGCAGGTGTGGTAATTTGACCATTTGACAGGTGAAGAACAGAGACAGATGCTCTAGAGGACTTCACTGGACAGGAATCCACACCTTTGGTATTAAGTATGTTAAATTTGTTTTATCTTAATGTTCAACAAATATAAGCACAAGTAAACATTTTATTTAAAATTAGGAAATAAGTTTATGATACAAATTACAACTCTATTCCTTGAGAATTCAATATAAAATTTTTATTTTATGAAAAAGTATCTGTCTTCAAATCATTGAACTATATGGTTTTACTGGATTCAGATATTAAGGTGATTCCTATAAGAATGGGTGTAATTTCCCAAAAGAGATTTGCTCCATGGGCAGAAACCAGAATTTAAGCTCATAATCTCGAGAAAGTAATTTCCTTGTTATCACTGCTGCTCTTAATGCTCAGAAACTGAAAATTTCAGATAGTAACAGAAATCATCACTGTATTTGTGTGATGGGTTTAGGAGTGCAGGACAGGAACAATTAAACTTTCTTATTTACAACTTTCAGGCAGCTTGTGAAAGTGTTTGCCTTTCTTTCAGTGTTTATTTGAATCAAAAACTACTTTATATGAATGTTGAAAAACGTATTCCCATGTTTCTCAGGGAAAGAAATCACTCAGAAATATAAAAAACATAAATTATTTTAGAATGAAAAGACAGCTTTGTTTTCAAGTCAGGCATCACCATACCTCCCACATTTTTGTACATCAGACTCTTGTGTGGCATAAGTGTACGTGTCATAAACTATTAAAAGAAAGTCTAGGTTTGCATATAACATATTACCACTTGAAGATGCCATTCTTGCCACATGCTCTATAAACTATCCCTGACTCAGAGGAGGTACAACTAACAATTAGGTTAGTAACGTGTATGTGCAGCTGAGTGAAGCAGCATGTTTAAAAATTAAGAATAATTAGCTGCTTTCACCTGCATGGTTACTAAGCATATTCAGAGGTATTCGCATATTTTAAAAGAGGCCAAAAATATGATGATAGACTAAATAAAAGTTTTATCTTAATTATATACTACAGATATTGTGATTTTATTCAATTTTCACCATTATGAGTTGTTTGGTTATGTTTTAGAAGTCAAAGTACCAATGTGAAGTGGCCTGGAAAGTATAGATGGAATATCGTAGTGTTCCTTAGCTGCTGTGTTTGACATATTGTCCATGGGTCTAATTTAGGAAGGAGACTGAAAATTTCCATATGGTACTTTAGACAGTTGTGAAATAGAAATGTGCCAAGGGATTTCTCAGTTGTAAAGTAGCTTTTTTTATTTATGTTTCTTTACTTCTGTTAATAAAAACAGTTGGAGAATTAAAAAAATTTTAATGTACTCTTTCATTATAACCCAGAATAATCATTCTTTGCTTAATGATTACCAAGAAGGGTGTAGAAAGTTCTTCTGTACTTGGTTTACAGGCAAGTGGCAAACTGTCAAGCTGTTGTATACCTCATTTCAGTTTGTCAAAGTGCAGAGCTTTTCCCTCCTTTCTCAAAGTCTTGGATAGGTAGCATTCTCTGTGTAGATCAGAGTCTTCTCTGATATAAGGTCCTTATGTGGGTAATGGCCCAGAAAGGTAAATGGTAATCACCACCATCTTTACCCCTGGATGTTTCTTTACTTTGGGGTCAAATATTCTACTTGCTTAATCAAGAATTTCAGAATAAAAATCAGGGATGCCTTGAAATAGAAAGTTTTCCTATTGGAGTCTTTTGTTTTTGAATGTGTGTGTATGTGCATGCTGTTTTGGAAAATTATAGTTCGATAGATTGAAACAAATTTCTGCATCTCTATGTTTATACCAGAAATAAAAGTATTATAATTACAGCATCAATTGCATTAAATATTTGTATACTACTAGTGCCTAAAATTTTAGAGAATATAGTTTACTTACACTGTTTGGTGGATTTTCAAACAGTGAAGTATCATCTTTCCTTAAGTAATATGAAACTGATATTGCTGAAATAGAAATTACCCTGTTCCTGTACCTTATAACATACAAGCATCAGAAATCAAACAGACACATCAGAAAAGTATTTCTATTCTTCCACCTCCCAATATACTGATGTCTTTTAACCACTCCTATGAAACTTAATAGTTGTATGTTAAAAGTATAGCAAAACAGTCATTTATCACCTATCAATGAGAACATGTTCTGACAAGGCACCTTGGGCCATTTCCTTATGTGAGTATCATAGAGTGTACTTACACAAGCCTGCATGGTGCTATCACCTACTGTGCACTAGACTATGTGATGTAGTTATAGCTCTGTGTGTATGTGTTGCTATGACATTACAGAGAATGTGGTTGCATATAGATCATTATGGGGTGGATCTATTACATGTAGGGTTCCATGTTTTACTCTTGTGTCACAA